ACACAGCATTTGATCACTGCTGAACCATGCAGACTCATGTTGTGTCATAGGATGCGACATCATGGGGATGGTCACTTGGTACTATAAAGCACACAAAACTGCTGCAAAACTGTAACTCAGGTGACTGATAGGTCTCCAGGAGGAAGAGGCAGGGCTGTGTGGAGGCACGGCTGTATAAGGCAGCAGCCTGTGGACACACGTGTGGGTTGTGAATGGTTGGTTGGATAGTTGTCGTTATTGCTGTAAATAGCCTTGTATATAAAGGAACTAAGATTAAAGCCTCATCTGAGAGACGCCTGCCTGTAGGGTCTCTTCACTCTATCTAGAAGGGAAGAAGTGCTTCTCCAGCTGACAAGCTACCTGCTGCATCTGAGAAGTTCGTGATCCTGTTGCTGCATGTTTACGTGGGTCTTCACACACTGTGTAACCACGCTAACGTTAGGAGTGCTTATGGCAGGGGGTTGGATGATGCTTGTGATCTCACGCTAATTTGTTAGGAGTGCTTATGGCAGGGGGTTGGATGATGCTTGTGATCTCTCCCACTCTATGACTGAAAAAAATTATTAGCCACTTTGAAATCCCATATCAAGACAAAATTGGGTCACCATCATCATCATCCAACAGCAAAGAAGCCCTTTGCTCAAAGATAATCATCTTGGCCTATGGGCTGAACTATTTTGATGAGACTATGTAAAAATGCAGCTTATGTATAGAAACTGTGTGTAATTGTGTTACCTGTGAAAATATCTTAGCTCAGATACACTTATTTATGTGTAACATATCCAGGGATAGTCATTTTAGCCATACAGCAATGTACAATAACATCCAAAACCCACAGTGATATCTTTATTTGACCAACCAAAATGCACAAAAAGCAAGATGCAAGTTTTCAAAGTTCCACTGGCTTCTTCAACAGGCAAAGGTGTGAAAATCATACAGGGTGTATGTGCCTTTTTGTGTTACTAATGGAATTCATATTTTGTCTCCTGGATATTGGAATGCTTTGTTCCCACTGCCACATGGCCAGAAGCAGGAGAGGCCTGTCTGCACATGTATCCCTCTATACTAGCTCAACACAGTACAACATGACAATATCTTGACAAAAATATCATGCCTGTGACTATCTTTTTTTAAATCTTTTTTTAAAATCTCCTTTATGACTTTTAACACGATTGCCTATTGAAGAAGCCAGTAGAGCTTCGAAAGTTTGCATCATGTGTTTTGTGCATTTTGGTTGATCAAATAAATGCATCGCTGTTTTGTGGATTTTGGATATTATTTACTTTAATTATGTGCACAAATGAATGCGATAGCACTATAAATAGCTTCAAAATTCAGCAAATCTCTATCAGAGTAAATATTCACAAAGTGGAGAGAATCAGTTTCAGTTGTAAGTGATTTAGTTAAGTTTAGTTTAGAACCAAATCCCAGAAACACCACAACCCCCATTCCCAAAGAGAAAGTCTCTTGAGTATCCATAAAGTGTTTTTTTCATTATTAGTGACAGATACAGAGTTGGCCCAAAATATTCTCTTTGGCACCTCTCAACCACTGACACTAACATAGGACTGACCATATATTAGACCTTACACTCACAACCCAAACAACTATTGCAGTACACTGAGGAAAACAGTACACTTGAGGTGCAAAGCACACTGCAGAAATAATCCAGTTTGAGATCATTTTAACTTCCCTGGTTCAGTGCTAGGGAATCCTAGGAACTGTAGGTCATTGTGGCACCAGAGCTCTCTGACAGAGAAGGCTAAATGTCACACAAAACTATGGTTCCCAGAATTCCCTAGCATTGAGCCAGAGCAGTTAAAGCAGACTTAAACAGGATTATTTCTGCAATGCCTTTTGGACCTGTATTACTGATTCTTCTGCCTATGGGACTCCAAGTTAAAGTGACCATTCTTTAACCTGAATTCCATTCGGAAGGTTTCATTCATCTGGAAAAGTGCATGTGAGGTATTAGAGTCAAAGATATTCTACAATACGATACTGAAGTGTTGTCTAATTTATTCTTCCTCTCAGAGGCTGGAGATGACATTATCAAAGGAGTTGCTTCTTCTCCAATTAAAAGAGTTGCTTTGAAATTTGCCAATCTTGATAGAAAATCATTGCCCCATCCCTGGTCAAGGTAACTTACCTACGGGTGTCAAATAGAGAAAGACACAGATTGCTATGAGAAATATTTGACATGTGGAGAACATCTTGAGATTCTGTGTGCCACAGCAGAATGCTAAATCACAGAGGAAGCAATGCTGATCTCTAATCCCTTCCAGGTCTGCCAAAAACCACATCTTTTTATAATCTCAGTGATGCAATTTAGACAACACCCTGTTTTCATGGGAGAGAAAAGAAAAAGACCAATTGTCCATGAAACATTAAGCATGGCCAATTGGCCAAGAAACATTGAACAACATTACTGTTGTTGTTTTAATTAACCCATACTGCACGAACCGTATAGATGCCTGCTTTATATGGTTTCCCTCTTTGTTTTGATTTCCCATTTTTTCCTACAATAATCCAATAATTTGGAATTCAGAGACATAGCTGTGTTAGTCTGGAGAACACTATGCAAAAGGATCTTATAACAATTTTGAAACTAATTGTGTAGAAAAAGTTGTAGCATAAGCTTCTGTAGACTTCTTCTATTTGAAGAGGAAGTTGATTTGACTTCCACTATAATAATAATAATAATAATAATAATAATAATAATAATAATAATAATAATAATAAATTTTTATTTGTAGCCCGCCCCCTGCAGGGCAATCGGGGCGGGGGCCAACAGCATTTAAAACAGAACAACATTAAAACATTCCCTCTCCCTATAATCCCTTCCTTCCCCCACCCCATCCCCTTAAAATAGAATTAAACCATAGAATAATTAAAATACTATATTAATTAAGTTAATTAATTAATTAAAAAACAGAATTTTTCAGAGGAGTCAACAAATGGGGGCCCCTTTGTGGGCCGAGAGTTAATCCGGAAAGGCCTGCCGGAAGAGATCCGTCTTTACTGCT